ATTTTTCCACCGCTCTCCATGCGTATTTCTGTCTTGTTTTTCACTACTTCCTTCCCATCTCCGCGCGCGATTCTTTCCATATTCTCTCTTCGCAATTTGTCTATTTTTCCACCGCTCTCCATGCGTATTTCTGTCTTGTTTTTCACTACTTCCTTCCCATCTCCGCGCGCGATTCTTTCCATATTCTCTCTTCGCAATTTGTCTATTTTTCCACCGCTCTCCATGCGTATTTATGTCTAGTTTTTCTCTAATTCCTCCCCATATCTGCGCGCGTTTCTTCCCCGCAGCCACACGTCGAAGACGGTCATCGACTTTGTCAACGCTGGGGAGAACGCAGTCTTCGTGCAGAACTCCGTGCACGTGATCTCGCAGCTCTGTGACAACCTGATCACGTCGTGCGGTGGCCTGCTGCCTCTCCTCGCCTCCGCTACCTCCCCGCAGGTGAGTCGCCGTGGCAACCGAGACTCCGCCGAGAGCGATCGGTCGCGTGGGAGATGGCGTCGAGTCGCCGCGGCAACCGACTCCGCCAAGAGCGGGCGGTCGCACGCGAGGTAGCGAGGGTCATAGTTTGACCGTCGTTCTGTTTCGCGATTTGGTCGATCGGTCGGTCGTCAATTTCTTCCTAATTTATCCTAATGTTGAAAATTTTATTTTTACAAATTTATTCGAATTAGTTCTTATTTATTTTAAAATTAAATATTTTAAAAATGTTAGTTTGTAGATTAAATATTGACGATTAAAATGTTTCAAATTTATTCTTGTTATTCATTTCTAGTCAAGTCATCATCATTCAGTTGGTCATTCTAATCGATCTTTCGCGATCTAATCGTCGATTCTCTCTGCTCTCTTCTCTCTGCTCCTCCGCGCCGCTCCGCCAGCTGCAGTGTGCGATGGATGTGATGGAGGCGTCTCAGGGTCTATCGCTCGACGCCTCGATCTCCTTCCTCACGCGTCTCATGAACCTCACCGACATGCTGGTGTTCGCGAGTTCCATGAACTTCACCGACCTTGAACACGAGAAGAACATGGCGCACGGCGGCATCCTGAGACAGTGCCTCAGACTCGGTGAGTGCTGCGTTGAGACAGTGCCTCAGACTCGGTGAGTGCTGCGTTGAGACAGTGCCTCAGACTCGGTGAGTGCTGCATTGAGACAGTGCCTCAGACTCGGTGAGTGCTGCGTTGAGACCG